CTTGGAGCAAAGAGGGGAATGTATGAGAGTATAGTTTTACCAACGCTCTTATATGGGTGTGAAGCATGGGTGATGAATGTTGCAGTGAGGAGAAGGCTGGAGGCAGTGGAGATGTCATGTCTGAGGGCAATGTGTGGTGTGAATATAATGCAGAGAATTCGTAGTTTGGAAGTTAGGAGGAGGTGCGGGATTACCAAAACTGTTGTCCAGAGGGCTGAGGAAGGGTTGTTGAGGTGGTTTGGACATGTAGAGAGAATGGAGCGAAACAGAATGACTTCAAGAGTGTATCAGTCTGTAGTGGAAGGAAAGTGGGGTAGGGGTCAGCCTAGGAAAGGTTGGAGGGAGGGGGTAAAGGAGGTTTTGTGTGCGAGGGCTTGGACTTACAGTAGGCATGCGTGAGCATGTTTGATAGGAGTGAATGGAGACAAATGGTTTTTAATACTTGACGTGCTGTTGGAGTGTGAGCAACGTAACATTTATGAAGGGATTCAGGGAAACCGGCAGGCCGGACTTGAGTCCTGGAGATGGGAAGTACAGTGTCTGCACTCTGAAGGAGGGGTGTTAATGTTGCAGTTTAAAAACTGTAGTGTAAAGCACCCTTCTGGCAAGACAGTGATGGAGTGAATGATGGTGAAAGTTTTTCTTTTTCAGGCCACCCTGCCTTGGTGGGAATCGGCCAGTGTGTTAATAACAAAAAAAATAATTTTAAAAGCAAAAATCAACTTCAGTATAATAACAATTATGATATAGGCTTTGAAATGTTTTGAGTGTGTGCTTCTGCATCTCTTTGACTGCTGAAGAGTTAGTCATGTAAATACAGTGGAACGCCGAATTCACTAAATGTGATTTCTTGGGTGGGCAAAAATCTTGGTTTAGTACTCTGATATGATCTGTTTGTTTATTTTACCTGTCAGTAATATTGCTGAGCTTAGGCAAGATGTGAAGGGAGGCAGGGCAGAGCCACATGCACCTGTAGTTTTGTTTTTTCAGTCTCTGGCTAAACCCTAAGAGTTTATACAGCACTAGTTGATAATGTTGCCTATTTAGTAGACACAAACTGTTGTCTTTTGCTAGGTCCCCAGTAATTTTTTGGTAACTAGATCACTGAATTAGCAGAGACATCTGTATGTTTGGTGGCTTGGGATCTTTCAAGTCTTCCTTGGGCAGTTGACGTTTTTTAATTATTATGCTGTTTATAACCAGCTCTTGCATGCTTGTTGTTGGCAACCAACCAACTGTTTTCAGTAAAACCTTTCCTGGGCTCATGGGCATCCTCACATCATCGTTGGTATTTGTTGGAAACTTATTTCACAGCTACACATTTTAAATACCATACTCCTCCACTGTTATCCTAGGGATGAGAGCCTTACACAAATAACCCGCACATAGAAGAGAGGAGCTTACGACGACGTTTCAGTCCGACTTAGACCATTTGCAAAGTCACACTAACGAAAAGGAGAGCAGGATGGGTATACATAGACAGGAGGTGTGACTTTGTAAATGGTCCAAGTCGGACTGAAACGTCGTCGTAAGCTCCTCTCTTCTATGTGCGGGTTATTTGTGTATCGTTCCAGTCATGGTATTGTGCCTTTTTTTGTTATGAGAACCTTGTTCTACTTAATGAGCATGGTGAGAGGGTTCTACTTGTACAGTACTTTCTTTATATATTTGTGTCTCTCAGTAAGACATTTTTATTTTCAGCCTCTCTTGGCATGTTCTACTAGGTTTACACTCTGCCATCCTCTCTGAAAGAACCATCGAAACAAGATGCAGTATACATCTTTTATTAGAGCCAACTTTTTTGTTTAACACACCATCTGTCTTCTACTGAGGGAGAGTGACCTAAAAAAAAAAGGAAATGCATTACCATCACTCATTCAGATAACTTTCTTACTTGAATTGTGCAGCTATCACATTTCAAATGACTCTTCAAATTGCAGCATCCTCATCCCTCCTTCAAGGTGCAGGAACTATACTTCCCTCCTCCAGGGCATCAGTTCAACTAACCAGGTTTCCTGAATACCTTCAAGAGTGTTACCTTCCTCACATTCCAACAGCATGTCAAGTCATAAAACACTTCTCTACATTCACTTTGATACAATATACCTGGGTCCTAGAGGCAGCAAGGGCAGTGTCCACATTCTAAGGGAGGGGTGGGAGATTTTGCTGTCAGAGGGGGAGAGTTGTAATGTTAGCACACATCAGGAATTGAATGAAAGATAGCAAAGGTGTTAGCTCTTTTGGGTTACCCCACTGTGATGGGAGATGGCATTGAGGTAAAAAGAAAAAACTATTAGGAAGTGATTCCTAGGTTAAACACTTATATGAAGAATTTATTTTTTAAAACTTCTGTCTCTCATATAACATGTTCTTGGTTTGGCAGGTGTTGCATGTTGTTGTCAGTGGAAAAAAAAGCAGTCAGATGAGATCACCCAACTTGGAGGTAGTAGATTTTGATGGCTATGTCCGGGAAGACAGCAGCAGGGCTGGCAGCATTGACTCCTCCAGTAGAGGAGACTCACTCAAGAGGTCTTCCTTCCCACCAACCTGCACCTCCACTATAAAATTAGCAGCAAAATCAGTAAGCTTGTATAATTTACCTGGTATTTGAAATTTTGTAAACATGGTAATAACTTGTTTTATTATATACAGTAGGTTCTCAATTTACAATGTTCCACTTTTACGACACGCCACTGTCGAACCAGTTATTGACTTATGAACACAAGTGCTTGCCTCTAATTCTCAGGTCTACTTATAATTTCGTCAGAGAGGAATTATTAGAGTTATCACATTTGTTTGCTGGAAACTGGCCAACAATTATAGATTTACCATAATTACAGTTTCTAAAGGCTGAATTGTAAACGTTTTTGTCTTGGATAGTTTTTTACCAAATGCAATATGTGTATAGCAAAGCCTCTATTATTATAAATCTGAATAGTATGAATTTCAATTTAGTACGAATTATACAACAATACCAAAGTAACAAAACAAATTTTGTTCTGGATATGAGAGAATGGGTCTGTGTGGTGAGTGTGCACCATATAAAAAAAATCCTGCCCCACGCAGTGCAGGATGGGAAAACACTGTGTGTGTGTGGTTTAAAATAACAAAACTGCTGTGTATTCTTGGACAGTTTTATGGGCTTGTTGGTTGTTTCTTAGTATCATTTGATAGAGTGGAAAACATTACTGAAATAGAGATGATTTTGATTGGTTTCACTAACTTTGTGCCTGCATAATTCCTTAAATTTTTCCGTTAAATTTTGTATGTTTGTTGTCATTACCTTAAGAAAGTGTTTATCTACCATTTCAGAAAAAAAAGTTAAATTTTGGACACAAACAAGTTTCATTTCAGGGGTCTGGAAATTTAAAAAAAAAAAAATATATTGAAATAGTAGAGAATATTTTTCTAAAGGTAATGACCCCAAAAATATGAAATTTGATGGAAAATTTACAAAATTGCACAGGTGCAACATTGCTATTCTGGATGCAATTTACATTTGTCCATTTTGAGTCCTGTTTTTAAGCCAATTCCTTTGCTCATTTTGACCAAATTCTTACCTAGTTTGCTAGTATGCCTTCCACTTATTGAGGACACAAAACTGTGTATTTAACTATCAGAACTACCCTAAAATACACAGAAATTTGTAATTTGGCCAGTTTTGCACAGAATTAAAAAAATCCAATTTAAAAACCAAGTCCAATTTATACACTTTAGGCATTCCAGTCACTAAAGCAATATTTCCTCTGTTTATTAATCCCATCCTCAGTCCTCTCCTATATTAATCTTGCCCTCATTTTGAATTCATCACATATTTCTAGGATAAAATAAAATCAGGAATGATTATTTGTTATAGTTTAAGCTGTCCCAATAATTGAAGCAGGCCTAGTAAATTTATTAAAAAGAATGGTATATTCCCACTCTGTGGCTGATTTCAAGCAGCTGCTAGTCCTGCAAGCAACCAAAATCATCTCTGTTTTTGTAGTATGTCGTCAATTCCATCAATTGATAGCAAAAAAAAAAAAAAAAAAAAACCATCCTAGAAAACATCTCAAAGTTGCAATTTTAACCCTTAAACTGTCCAAACATAGATCTAGGTTCGCCTGCGTGGCGCTCCGAATATTTTGAAAAATAAAAAAAATTGTTTTTTGTTTTTAAATTAAAGAGGGGTATTTTCTGTGTGGTATAAGACCCAAAAAAAATTTTAGGACCAGTACTTACCGAGATATAAGACCGTGAAATTGGCTCTGGATGCTCACCTGATGGAAACATCCAGTCCTGCCACTTGCAGAAGTGTTACCAATTTGTCTTTTTTTCTCATTTTTATTTTAATTTATATAATTTTTATGTTCTGATAATTACAATTTATAATAGTTCTTTTGATTTCATAGCCAATCTTTGTTCTGACACTAATATTACGTACTGAAATAGTACTCAGATTGTAACAGTCACACTGACAGGTGAACATTTTCGCCTGCCCTGGTCATTTACTATTGTCTAGAAATATATACTGTACAAAGTATATATTGGTCCCAGCAATGTTTCAGACACAGTGGAGTATGAACCTCCTTTAAGCATGATGTTATGACAAGGGTCAGAATGTGCCCTGCTGGAGGGGGAAACCTTACCTTTATATGTTTTTACTCCTGCACACAAACATGTCTTTGTATGTCTGTCTGTCAGTCTATCTGTTTGCCTGACTGTCTGCCTGTCTGTCTGTCTATTTGTACATCTATCTATCTGTACATCTGTGTGTCTATCTGTACATCTATCTGTCTGTCTGCCTACCTCTGCTTATCTGTCTGTATAATTCTGCTTAACTGTCTTTCTGTCTGCCTCTGTGTGTCTGTCTTTCCATCTGCTTGTCTCTGTCTCAGGGAGCGGCTAGTAAACCTGTTGGTTTGTGGTGTATGTGCCCCTCCCTGATTGCTGAGCAAGTGACACTTGCTATCATTTGCGTCATGTTTATTTATGTCTTATGTCTGCAAACACTGTATAGCACTTGGCCTGGAATTTTTGGGTTATCCTAGGTAATTTACATTATGTATAATAACTGTATTTATGAGTACATGTGAGAGACAGGGATACAAATAGACAGTGATATAGACAGACAGAGATATAGACAGATGCAGAGACAACCAAAGCCAGCCAACTAGCCAGCCGAATACATAACATAAGAAGGAAGGAACACTGCAACAGGCCTACTGGGCCATGCAAAGCAGGTCCATGTCACCCCCTGGCTTAGACCAATGACCCACCTAGTCAGGTCACATCCACTGAAAGAACAGGCACGACATCTGACCTAGTAGCACAAGCTAGTCAGGTCCAACTCACACCCACCCACACCCACTCATGCATTTATCTAACCTACTTTTACTTTCCTCTTAAAATGTGAGTGTTAATATGACATGACATCAGTGAATCCTTGGTGTTTGCCATGATATTTGCTATAGCTGGCACTCAGTTGAACTGGTGCTCCCACAGGGTACTAAGTGCTCCCAGATTTTTTCATAGTGCACACACTGAGTGCACAGACCCATTCTTTTATGTCTAGGCGACTCAGGCCTATCACACCAAATTTGAAGGAATGAAAAATAAAACGTTGATCTACGTTCGGAGCCTGCCTCACGTGAACATATATCTATGTGTGGACAGTTTAAGGGTTAAACAAAACACAATGTTTGATAGAGGTTTGCTTTTGCCATCATACGTCACATGGGGCAAGATTTTTTTTTATTCTGCACACGCGCTGCACACTCATTCTCTTAATGTCTAGGCCAAAATTTACCACTCACGGCATATCTGAGTGACCTGAGCTCAGAATGCAGATCTACGTGACCAACACTGGCATCAGTGATGTATATCTATCTAAAAGACAGTGAAAGGGGTAATTAGTACATCTTCATCAATTAATGTTTAATACTATTTATACTTGAAAAGAATAAGCACTGAATGTATGATTTTGGGTATATATTCTTAGTATACCCAAAATCAGGGATGGCTGATGTCACCATGGTTGTTCAATATATTTATAGATGGGTCTGTAAGAGAAGCGAATGCTCAGGCGTTGGCAAGAGGTGTGGGATTAAGAAATAAAAAATCAAACACAAAGTGGGAGCTGCCACAGTTGCTTATTTTTCTGATGACACTGTGCTTTTGGGAGATTCTGAAGAGAATTTGAAGAGGTTAGTGGACGAGTTTGGAAGGGTATGTAAAAAAGGAAATTAAAGGTGAACATAGGAAGGCGTAAGGTGATGTGAATAACAAAAAAAAATTAGGTAATGAGAGAGTGGATATCAGATTGGAGGGAGGGAGTATGGAGGAAATGAATGCACAGTGGTACCTTGACTTACGAGTGCCTCAACTTACGAGTTTTCCAAGTTATGAGCCATCACTCAATCGAGTTGCTTTGAGTTGAGAGCCAAAATCTGAGTTACGAGCGAGCTTCAGATATGCCACCACTCGCAGGAGAGAGGAATTATCATTAACCTCGACAATAATGTGTAACATCCTTTCAATTTTGATACCACTGGTAGTATCATCCTGCCAGAATGTTCTATAATGTATGCCCTAAGTAAAGAGAAACAATTCTGGAATGTGTAATACACGTTCGGCAGGCTGGCTGGTTGGGTGGCTGGCTGGTTGGGTGACTGGCTGGCTGGCCGCCTGGCTGGCTGGCCAGCTACCTGGCTGGCCGGCTGGCTGGCTGATTTGCTTTGGCTGTCTCTATCTCCTTCTGTTTGTCTGTAGTATCTATTTATGTCTGTCTGTGTCTCTATCTTACAGGTACACATGAATACAGCTATACATATTGTAAATTACCTAGGATAACCCAAAAAATCCAGACACAGTGTTATAATATGCTTGTAGATATAAGGCATAATAAGCTTGATTGGCAAGTAATACACATTTTTACTTGTTCAGGAATCAGACGTGACCTACTCTGCATCGTGTGTAATACCTGTTGGTTCATGAGCAGCTCTCTCTGAGATAGAGAGACAAGTACAGAGACAGGAAGACAGAAACACAGGCAGACAGGAAGACAAATAAGCAGAGACAGAGATAAACATAGAGCTAGACAGACAGAAACAGATAGAAACAAACAGATATACATGTTTATGTGTAACAGTGAAAAATAAAGGGTGTCACTCCACTGCCAGTGGAGTGACACTCATCTTACACCATGCTTCAAGGAGTTTCATATATACTCCAGCATTTCTAAAACAATGCTGGACCCAGGGATAAAGGCAAAAATCATTTCTTATTTATAAGTACAGTGGACCCTTGGTTATCGGCCGTAATCCGTTCCAGAAGCTCGGCCTAAAACCAAAATTGCCGAAAACTGAAATAACATTTCCCATAAGAATTAATGTAAATACAATTAATCTGTTCCAGACAAAAATATTCACAAAAAAAGATAATATTTTGTACAATTAGCCCCTAAACGGTCCAGACGTATATACAGTAGGGCACCACTTTACGGCATTTTGCTTTATGGCGTTTCGATAATACGGTCATTTCAAATTATGACCAAAACTGTGTATACGGCTCCCCCCACCTGACTTTCTAATACGGTCCCCG